ATATATATATATATATCATTACCACATTGTACAATAGACATGCATAAATTTGTCAGTTATACCTCAATAAAACAGAAGGAGAAAGTTGTTAAAGCCAGGCGTGGTGGCACATATCTTTAATCCCAGAACTCAGAGAGGAGAGACAGGAGGATTGCTGTAAATTCAAGGCCAGCCTGGACTACATGAGACCCTGTCCCAAAAAGCCAAAACAAGCTGGGTGTGGTGGCACATGCCTTTAATCCCAGCACTTGGGAGGTAAAGGCAGACAGATCTCTGTGAGTTCAAGGCTAGCCTGGTCTACACAGTGAGTTACAGGTCAGCTAGGGCTACAGGAGACCCTGTCTCAAAAAGACCAAAAAAAAAAAGTGAAACAAAAACTGAAAAGACTATATTGTGCATATTGTATGATTCTGTTGATTCATATGTGCTGGAGAAATGGCTCTCTTGGTAAAGGAGCTTTCTGCCAAACCTGACCATCTCAGTTTGAGCCTCAGTACCCATATGGTGGGAGAAGAGAACACATGTGCTACGGCATGTACATGTCAATATACATATACATACACAAAATAGATACATGAAATACAAACTTAAAAAAATAAACTGATAACACTGATCACTTATACAGAATGTAAAGGTTAATGAAATATAAAAATTACACAACTTGGATTCCTGAGCTAAGTAAGAAGCCATTGCTATCTACTAGAATAAAAATGCTGGTCAGGAAAACTAGCTAGTTCGGGAACATTCATAAAAGTTAGGCAAGGCTGGGAGACCAAATTTGATGTTTTCATTAAATACAACTTTGTGAGAATGATAAACTGTGTGCCAGCTGAGAAATGTTGACATAAGGGATATTAATTAATGTCTGTGAAGCAGGAAGAAAAGGACCATTTATAACAAGTTTAAAGTGTCACACACAAGGAGAAAACAGCTGCAATCTCATCTCATCTGGCCAGATGGGAAGCAGGTAGACTTCTCCCCGGGATGAACAGCAGCTAATAAAAATATCTCAAGAGTCTGCAAAAGAAGCTTACCTTTTAAATGTTGCACATTTTATGTCAAAGGGTTTAGAAAGAGTAGTGACAAAGGAATGGAGAACACCCCTACCCCCACCCCTGGTCTTGCTCTGTAACCCAGAATGGCTCAAACTTGCAGTGATTCTCCTGCATCTGCCCCTCCAGTACCTGGATGACAGGCATGCACCACAACTAACTGCACATATTCTCTTTAACATAAAAACTGCAAACTCTCCTAATTGTGTTACAGCCTTACCTTTATTGTCAAGGAATACATAGCCATCAAATCGGTCCCTGAATAAAAGAATGTCCTCTTGGTTTTTAAAGTTGATATATGCTCTGGCATACATATGAGGATAGAGACTGCAGGGAGGAAAGGAATCATGTAAATGTTTGCAGGTGTTTGGCTGAATTGCAAGTATGTATTTATTAAAGAAACTAGCTCAAAAGAGAAAAGAAAAGGAAATATTAGTATAAAAAGAACAGAAGAAATGGTTTTCACACACACAGCCTTTTTTCCTTTTTTTTTTTTTTACCTAGTATCATTAGAAAAAAACTCAAAATAATCATGCTCAGGCATAGGTTGAAGATGTTCCTGAAGCTGCTCCTTGGTCAAAGTGGGAGGTAATCTTCGAATTACCACCTTAGGAGATGAATGAGGAAAAATAAAATTAGTACACATCAACTTTCTCTCATACATGAATCATGGTTCCTGAATATTTGCTTTCAAATACAAGATCACTCATAAACACCCAGAAAATATTCTTCTGCAGCCCAATGCTCAGATTTAGTCAAACGTAACATGATTTTTTAGAACTTCTGCAAGAGAACAGCTAGAGGACAATCTCGGTTCTATTCTTAACTAGCAACCTTTTGCAAGGTCCGTGAAATGGTACCACACAATTTTAAAACAGATTTGCCAACAGGTTGGTCAACCCTGGTCTTTCGTGGGTGCCACAAGATCTTAATTTAGTATCTAGCACACGTCCAACACATGCTAAAACAAAACCCCTCCCTGTTAACACACACAAAACATTCACTCATCGCCGTCATAACAGGATGGTCTCCATCTGCCTGCCCCTCCAGATCGTTAACCCCCTAAACATGCTCCCCCAACTCGACTCCATTAATACTCCACAAACTACTTCCATCCCTCATCCCTGGAGTCCTCTAGACTATTTAAAAATTCTCGTCAATTAAACTTAATTCCTCGTTGTTGTGCTCCCGCCTCCCGTGACCACTTCACCGCTCTGACCTAAACCCTTTTCATCTGGGCAATCTTTCTTTTCCTTCATTCCCCATCCCGGAGCTTGACTTGAACCTACAAATTCAACTTCGGACGGGTGTATGAAACAGAGGGAAGTGATTTTCATTCAGTTAGAAACAAGAGAAACCCGGGAGAGGAAGAAAGACAAGCCCATTCCCAGCCATCCTCCCTCCGAAGCAGCGAAGACGTCCCGCCCTCTCCCCGGCCAGCAGGCGGCCAGGCACCTTGCTCAAAGAGTCTTTCTTGTCCTTGTTGCGATCCTGCTTATCTTCCCCTCTGGCGCCTTCCGCCATAGCCCCAGCGCTACTGCCTGTGGCTCCCTGGGGCATTAGCAGGGTCACTCTCTTCTCCTTAGGCCTATGATCTTTCTCTTCCTTCATGGCCACGACTATGCTCCTGAGAGGAAAGGCTCGGCTACAACGCCCGTTACGCCGGGCACCAACGACTCTGGGGTAGCACCCGCCGAAGCCCCACCCCTAACAAATGCCCCTAGTGATAAGCCTAGGCCCGCGTTCCGTTGGGTTCTCCAAGATCTCGCGAGAATTCAGGGCACCCGGCTTCAATCAGTGGAAAGGTTTTTACACCTGGTCTTTACTTCCCGCCTGCCAAATCCTCACGCTGCCCAATCCCCTCGCGGCCTGGACTGCCTCCGGTCTACCGGTCGCGCGTCATTAGCAACTTCGCCATCTTGTCTAGAAACCACTCTATCCGAGACTACAACTCCCGGCATACAAAGCCATAGATAGACGCGCCATAACCATGATTGACTCCGAGTGCTTTATTTTAAGTAAACGCAATCTTTTCATCTTAAAAGTTTAATTTTTTTCAGATTAAAAAAAATAATGTCCGAAATGTATGAGATATAGTTTCGTCACTTTTTCCCTTTTTATTTTTAAATAAAAGGATTCTCTCCTGGTATTAGTGACCCAATAGGAGGGTGGGAAAAACCCAGCTTGATTTCATTCACATCCCTCTCTCTCCCCCCTATTTTAAAAGTCAAAATTGACTACTTATAAATTGGGCCCCGAAGCAATCTAAATACTCATCAATAGGTGAATGGACAAGCAAGATGTGGTATATCCAGAGCGAAGTACTAGGTAATAGCAATGAACCCTGACAATGCAATAAATATGAGCAGTAACGCGAACTACTAGTCAGACATGATGGCTTATTTCTGTAATCCCAGCACTTAGGAAGCTGAGGCAGAACCATGAATTCTAGGCCTTCATGGACGACACAGCAAGATACTTTTGAAGGAGAGAGACAGCGAGAGAGCCGGGGGGGGGGGGGGGGGGGGGAAGGAAGGGAGGGAGAGAAGAAGGGAAGGAGGGAAGGGAGAGAGAGGAGGAGGGAGAAAAGGAAAGGGAGGGGGTGAAGGAGGGAAGGAGGGAAGGGAGAGAGAGAAGGGGGAGAGGGGGAGAGAAGGAAAGGAGGGAAGGGAGGGAGAGATGAAGGGAAGGAGGGAAGGGAGAGAAGAGAGAAGAAATGGAGGGGGAGAAGAAGAGAAGGGAGAGAGGGAGAGAAAAAAGGAAGGAGGGAGGGGAGAGAGGGAGGAGAGAAGAAGAGGAGGGAAGGGAGAATAAAACAGAAGAAGGGAAGGGAGGGAGAGAAGAAGGGAGGGAGAGACGGAGTGAAGGAGGGAGAGTCACTGCAAAATCACAACTCTCACCTCAAAGGGATAAGAGTTTGTTCTGGAGCCAAATATGAGTGACTATGGCCTGGGAACACAGATTTAGGTCACTCCAAATTCCACGATCCAACATGGTAACAATTTCATGAAGTTTTATAGTAACAGGACAAAGAAAACCATACATTAAGATACTTTTCAAATACATTGGTGGGTACATTTGGTAGGTGGGCTATAGCAAAGCAAGGGGAATTCTGCTACAGGCCTTAGATGCTGTTTGACAGTCTTCTTAGGCCTTGGGTTGGTGGAAGCTGGTGGTCTAAGTTAATACATCTCATTATCTGTTAGTCTCAAGATGTTAGGGCAGATGTTAGGACACAGGTGGACAAGGAATGGCTACTTAGGGGGCTAAAGATAGCCCCAAGATAAATTGTAATTAGGCTGTGGACCTGCAACATTCCAAACTCTCCACAGTCATTGAAGATTAGTCAGCTGATCAGCCTTGAAGGAGGTTCAGTTGAAGATGCAGGGATTTGTTTTTGCTTTTTCTGGAAACTCTTTCACAGAAGGAAGATGAAAAGTACTTCGTGGTTGTGCCCACCCAAGGTGAAGTTCTTGTTTCCCTTAGTGTTTAGCCATAGAAACAGGCATCAGTAGGCAAGTGGGTGCACCAAGAAGTGTCCTTGCCCCATGTCACAGTCCTGTAGAGCTCTGTTATCCTCAGTCTTACAAGTGTTACAGCTTTTGTGAAGGCTTAGGAAGCAGAAATTCCTTAGCCTGTGGCTAAGGCTGACACTGCAGCTTCTGAATAGACCTAAGTATGGGGGTTCCTTAGTCCCTAAAACAGTGTGATAGCTCTTGGCCCAGGGTTTGAAACCCTTGGCCCTGAAGACTTGACAGATCTCTGGAACTTCTCTAGTGACCAGGGCCTGCAGCTTCTCTTCTCTGGCTCCTGATAGATGTTTATCTTTCTTCCTCATCAGCAGGAAGCCCTCTCATCACCTTTATGCTTCTGCTGCCCTGCTCTGGCTGTTCTCAGCTGTTCAGACACTTATTCTTTAGTAGGGAGACTGGCTGCCTACTGGAGGCCTTGTTGCCTCCTAAACAGTTCATGTCAATGGTACCATGGGCTATATGCCAAGTTTTCAACACATGGGCCTTTGGAGAACACTCAAAATCCAAACTACAGCATAAAGTAACCAAAGTAATTAATTTTGGAGACATAAAATGTCATATAAAACAAGAAATGAAAGGGTAGGTCAGGGAGGCTCAAGTGTCCCATGGTACCACCAAACAAAGAAGAAACTAGAAACAAAATTAAGTAATTTTTAAAATGGAAGCATAGGGCCAATGAAATGGCTAAGTGGGTAAAGTGGTCCTGCTGCCAAGTCTAACAATCTGAGTTCAGTCCCCAGGACCCACATAGTGGAAAGAGAGAACTGACTCTAGCAAGTTGTCCTCTGACCACTACACAGTTGTGTACACACATCCACCCACACATATACATGAACAAACTAAATAAATGTAAAAATGGCTGGGCGTGGTGGCGCACGCCTTTAATCCCAGCACTCGGGAGGCAGAGACAGGCGGATTTCTGTGAGTTGAAGTCCAGCCTGGTCTACATAGTTCCAGGCCAGCTGGGGCTACAGGGAGACCCTGTCTCAAAAAGACCCCACCCCCCAAAAAAGAAATAACGTAAAAATGGGCTGGGCATGGTGGCGCATGCCTTTAGTCCCAACACTTGGGAGGCAGAGACAGGTGGATCTCTGTAAGTTTGAGGCCAGCCTGGTCTACATAGTGAGTTCCAGGCCAGATGGGGCTACAGGGAGACCCTATTTCAAAAACACCAAAAAAAAAGAAAAAGTAAAAATGGAAGCATAGTAACTGTATAGATATGTCTCAATCATGAACAATATTTACAGTCGTAATATTACTACCGAATTATCAGTTAATAAAAAATACAGGGGCTGGAGAGATGGATCTGCAGTTAAGAGCACATACTTCTCTTACAGAGGACCCAAGTTCAGTTCCCAGCATCCACATTTGGCAGTTTACAAACGCCTGTGACTCCAGTTCCAGGGGAAGTCTAATGCCTTCTTCTGGCCCCTGTGGATATTACATGCAGGTGTATAACCACACTCATTGGTAAGCCTAAGATGGAGATGCTCCTGGGTATCAGAGGGCCAGCTGTGAGGCCCACATTAGTGATGGTGCTGCTTGAACTGCTGGCTGCAGTAGCCTCACAACCCTGTTTTTATTTCTTTGGTCAAGTTTATGTATACCATGGAGCGACGCAGGATGCTGCCCCTGTGTCTGGGTCCCCATGGGCTACCTCACTCACCTGCTGCTCTGCTAGCAAATCAATGGCAAAGCTCTCATTCACCTCTTTCTGAGGACCTAGAGATCAGAAACTTCCTGTAGTGTTTATCATCATAAACCTGGCTGTGCGTGATCATCTCCCTGCTGGGCAACCGCTGCACCCATAAACCCATTGCAGCCCAGGAAAGAGCCAGCAGCCGGTGGCTAGGATTAAAGCTGTGTGCCACCATGCCTGTCTTTATTTTACTTTTTATGCGTATGAGTGTTTGCCTTCCCATATGTATGTGTACCACATGTATGCCTGGTTCCCTTGTAGGTGAGAAGAGAGTATCAGATCTCCTGGAACTGGAGTTATAGACTTATGAGCTGCCATGTGGGTGTTGGGAACTGATCCTGGGTCCTCTGAAAGATCATCAAGTGCTCTTAATGACTGAGCCATCTCTCCAGTCCCCAGTCCTGTGATTTTGACTGATAGAAATCAAACATCCTGCCAGACGTGGTGGCTCACATCTGAATCCCATCACTCTGGAGGGTGAGGCAGGAGAACTACAGTGAATTTGAAGTCAGTCTGGGCTACAGAGTGAATTCTAGGCCAGCCAGGGCTATATAGCAAAACACTCTCTCAACTAACAACAAAAAAGAAACCGGAAATCTTTTCCTACCACATTATAGTAGCTGAAATTACTATGAGATACTGGTAACACTGATGTCCCATTCCTGAATTTGTCTGAGTTTCTGCAGCATGTCCCCCTCACCAGCCCTCTGCATACACCTAGCTTCCAATCCCCCATTTATCTAAGTATGTTTTACATCCTTGTGTGTCCATATATTTTGTCCATCTCTATTAATATTTTAGTGGAATTTCAGGGTGTCGTGGAGACGAACATGTGTTAATTCTGTCAGTTTCCAACCTGTTCTGTAGGGTTTTAAACTTCTATTGAATCTGTATTTTTAGAACTCTGTTATATGTCTCTTCCAAAGAACCAGCTTTGAGGGTTGCTGATTATCATCATTTTTAGGTATTTATGTATTTATTTATGTGTATATGTTTATTTACTTATAGCTGGGGTGGTTGTCAAACCCAGAGCCTTACGCATGGTAGGCAAGCATTCTATCATTGAGCTGTATTTCAGTTCTAATTTTTTTTATATATGGAGATTTTGTGCTGTTTTTAATCTTTTTTTTTTTTTTTTTTTTTTTTTTTTTTTTTTTTTATGTGGGAATTTTTTTTTTTTTTTTTTTTTATGTGGGAATTTTTTTTTTTTTTTTTTTTTATGTGGGAATTTTTTTTTTTTTTTTTTTTTGAGACAGGGTCTCCCTGTAGCCCCAGCTGCCCTGGAGCTCACTATGTAGACAAGGCTGTCCTTGAACTCAGAGATCTGCCTGCCTCTGCTTCCTGAATGCTGGGATAAAAGGCATGCACCACCATGCCCGGCTTAGAGATTTTGTTTTTATATTTGTTTTTTGTATGAGGACAGGGTCTCACTATTTATCCCTGGTTGGCCTGGAACTCGTTATATAAACCAGGCTGGCCTCAAACTCACAGAG